TCATTATTGGACATTTGAGGAAAATAAATGAATTTGTATGTTTCTATTTCTTTTCTATTCTTTTATATATTCGTTCATTCACTTTTATGTATACTTACAAAAGAAATAGTACATACGTGTACTTTTTGAGTAATAGGCAAATAAAAAGATGAGTTCATCGTAGCTTTTTTCAAAAAAATGTTTGAACCCCTTTGCTCTTTCGGTGAAAATGTGAGGCAAAAAAAGTTGTATTTTTCGATTTCTATGAAAATTTGTATTTGATGGTTTTAAGGTTTAAAATGCTAATCTCAAGTTGGTTTCTTCCGACAAAATATTTGAAGCCATTCCTTTGGTCGGTAAAAATTGTTTCATTTCAATATTGTACTTATATAATAGCTATATTTCAAACCTAAAATAGTAACAATAGAGTCCTTCGAAAATAAACGAAAATAGAGTATATCAAAACCACTTAAAGACGACTTTTTAGCGGCTAAATTAAGCAAAACTAAACTTTATAACTAATATAAACGTTGGCATAAATAAAAAATTATTTAAAAAAAAAAGACTGCGTCCTGAATATTTATCACCCATAAACTTTATAAAAATTTATTTTAGTAAATTTTGCTGAAAACAGGGGTACTTACTGTTACTTGACAGGATAACAAGTCGTGGGTCATAAATATTTAAATATTCAGTGCTCAAACCACGCCCTGAAGATGATCCACATGTTTGGGTTGAAACGTTGGAATAAATAAAAAATTAAAAAAATTGTTTAAAAAAAGACTGCGTCCTGAATATTTATCACTCATGCTATGTAGAACAGTTGACTAACTTCCTTCAATGATAAAAAGTCACATTTTTTACACAGCTTGAGATGAATCTGAATTTATTTTCTAAAAAACGTTAACTTAATTAATACAGACTTATTAAGCTTAATAAACAAAAAAGTTTTCATAAAAGTGGGGATGGGGCATCTGTAGTATAATTGGATGACGCTAAAAAAAAAAAAAAAAATCGCGAATAATTTATGATTTTTTTAAACACAGAACTTAGCTTAGTTTAGCCGCTCAAAAGTGCTCTTTAAATGGTTTTAACAATGACAAACTTTATTTTCGTTTAAAAATAAATTTTATCTAGTTTACAGGGAAACGATTTTTAATTACTTAAATTAAACATTTCTTTATTTTTCGCTTCCTATTCAACAAATAAACGACTTACTTAAAAAAACACATAACATGGATTTGCTACTTTTCTGCCTTAAATTGGCTCATTGTTTATATGTACTTTTTTGTAGCTCTTGGGCTCTCCTCTTACTCCTATAAAATTGTCATCTACTTACTGGACTCCTTGTATATACTGTTTTATAATTTTATTTAATTTTGTTGTGAAGTTTGTCAACAGCTACTACGAAAAAAGAAAATCGGTTGAGAAACAGAGGAGAAACAGGGACTGAACTGTTCTGCTTGTGTCTATTTATGTAACGGTAATTGTGTTTATAATATCTTGGGACAGATAGTAAAAAGTGTAAATTAATAAGAGTAAGAGGGTGTGAAGGGATATAGAAGGGAGAGGAGAGATGTGCGATAGGGTTTCAGTTCTCAAGCAAGGGCCCTCAGCCATTGTTAAGGTGGAACTAGCAACCAGGACAGATAAGATAACCATCTTACTCCCGCTTCATTGACTTTCTTTACTTCTAGATTGCTTCTTCTCTCAATTTTATCTTCCTCCTCTTTTTGTCCGACCTCTGTGTGGCATCCTCATGGGCCCTTTGAATCACTCAGTTTCTTCTGATCGTCACTACTTTGCATCCAAGATTTACCAAGTGTAGTGCTAGTGAACGTAATACTTTCCGGTGGCATTTAATGTTATTAAACTACTTGAAGAGCTACGAAATCACTTAAATGCTTTTTATAAAACCATAGTCAAATCATTTTTAGTCTCTTTGCTACATTTTTTTTTATAAACAATCGAGGTAATCAGTATTTCAGATTTATAAACTTATTTCATATGGGTTATTCAAAACTTATCTTGATATTCCTTCTTATCAGCTGTTTAATATAAATTCCATCTGATGTGTTTAAGAAACCTTATATTTCCTTCATTCCTTCAGTATGCATCGCTTGGTGAGATGTCACCGCATTTTTTTTCTATCTTTTTATTTTCGCATATATGTGAACTTGTTTTTTCTATCCTGGTGGTGCCTGAATTGGCGTAACACTGGCAGGTTAACTGTCCACCTGTTTGTTCGGGAGTCATGGCTTTACAGTTTGTATTTTTCCACTTATTTTAACGTAAAAAGTAACCTACATGGCTATTGTCTTCGGAGATGAGTTAATGTTTAGTAAGCTAGAGATCATCCAATCGAGTATGGTAATTTTACTAGCTGAAACTGATTGGATGTTCTTGTAGTTCCCTTTGCCTCGTTGATAGAACAATTATATCTCGGATAAGAGACAAAAAGATGGAGTAGGTGGTCGATAAGAGGAAGACCATTACCATTGTGGTAGTAATCTTGGCGGATCTCCTAGTGCTAGGACAATGAGGAGATTGCCCTTTTATAGACATTATTATAAGGTCCCTCTGAGTGATAAATCAGCCAGGAGATAGCCTTCCAGGAGGTGGAGCCATCTAGTGGCCATTCAATGGAAACTAGTTAACGTTCTCTCAATACTTCATATGGATCCGTTTCTATTCATCCATAGTCTTCCGATTAAGGGAGTGTGAACTGGTGTTACTGTCAATTAGAATGTTACAAGGTATTAATACTATTGATTCTCCCTCTATTCCACAATATAATCTTGCTTTACTATGTATTAGAAAGGGAATAAGTGGGGTGGTTCAGAAAGTAATGTATTGGAATTGGAGCCTTGGACCAATTTAGGTAGCTGATATTTCATTCATGATAATGGTAATGAAATGATAATTAAGTTAGCCTTTGATACTTAGCATGGAAGTCGGTGTGGGCCTTGGAACTAATGGGAGTGTGACCATTCTTTGTCTTAAATATTTCCCTGGACATGAAAATCTGGTAGTTGAGAATCATCATATAAATAGCCAAAGGCAAATGTGTATGTTGGTTTGTTCAAAACCAGTAATCTCCGAAGATTCTTCACGGATTACTTTGAAGTATTGATACAACGCTGCAAATTCACAAGTGTTTTTATATACATTACGGCCTTTCGTTTCGAAATAGCGGCCGAAAAACTTAAATCTCTGTAGACTATATCGTCAAAGTAACGATTTTAATGACACTTAGCTAAAGTCTTCTCCTTGAAGTCGTTATAATTTATGATATTGTATACATAAATTAAAAGATCTTTCCCTCGAGTTTCCACCGAATTGATAAAGTGAGTTCAGAATATATTTTTTTTTAAAGTAATAATTGATTCACATTTTCATTTTCAAGTAACTCAAAAGTACACAAATGGTGTACTGCACTGTTTTATTTTGTCAGTGCATATAGTAGTGAATATACGAATATGTTGGAGTAGAAAAAAGAAAAATTTCGACCTCCAAAATCGACTAGTAGTACTCCAAAACCCTTATTGAAGGGTGAATTATTGTATGTTATTCCTTAAACTTCCAATTCATTAGCGAGTTCGTTGCTGACTTACGTTGTATTGTCTTTGAATCCACTTTGACATAGTTCATAACGTAACCATTCCGAAACCGAAAAATGTATTACTGGTTCTCCTGTAGCTCTATTAAAATAGCTCTGGGTTCATTTTACTTAGTGTACTTTGATCCGATAGAAATGTGTAAATTAGGGATAGCTTAGACCTGAGCCTAATTAACTTGACTCAGCAAACTGATCAAAACTATTTAACAAAAAAATGGATATGGAAAAAAATAGGAAAATAAGCTCGTAATTCCGTTGATGCAGAAACCTGTAACTCTTCTGGAGTCTATTCCACTAAATTACAAATATCTCTTGTTCCACAGTTGTTTAAGCTGCCTAACATCTGTGGGTTTTGGTTATCAAAGTCACATTTGAGGTGTTGAATCGAAAAGTAAAGTATTAAATATTCAATTTTCAACCACTTTTCCATTGTAAGTCCCATAAAACAAAGTTCATTCTAAACCACTCTGTTCAAAATAGAGAAGTGCAATCAAGAATAACTTCAATAATTTTCCTATAGATTGCTTAAAGATGTAATTTTAAAAGAAACATTTTTAATGAAAAAAGTTTTTTTTTCAGCTTCTGAAGTAATTGTAGCGCTATAAAACAATTTTTGTGGCGACTGGTGTCCAATAGTGTTGATACACCTCTTCATCTTCAAAGGAAATATTAAGTTGAGCTTTTATATTTCGTTTTAGAATTAATACCTTAGGTTAGGTTCTCTCAGATGACCTGAATTTACTTGTAGATCCTCCACCCTTCCGCTGTTTAAAATTTAATGTACAAACTTTAAATGCCGCTAAGTTCCATTGCTTAATTTTTATTTATAACTGCATTTAAATATGTAACATTTTGACTGGTTGAATCTTCTGATTTTGACCGAGAATCAGAATTGGTTGCTATTGTGTTAAGTAGTTATATTATATTTACTCATTAAAATTATTAATTTTATAACACTCCCTAAAATATTAACACATTTTTTGTTGATGGCCTACAAAGACATCGCATGATGCCTCCCCATGTCCATCACCATGATCGATTAGGACCTTCGGGTGGTGGCAGACGTTCGTGAATGATCTATTCATCGAGATGGGACCTAAGCGAACCCATACAGAGAAACATAGGCGCTCTTTATCACCTTTTCCATTTTGGCAGAGGGTGGGGGTGGGGGTAAATCTTATTAAATTGGCCGGGAAGGGGGGCGGATCCCCATGGCAACCGGCCCCTCGCTGTTTTTTTAAAGACCTGTCGCCTAACACTCTTAGCTCCCCCGCTCTCTTCGCGATTTTTTCTTTTCTTTTTTTTTTTTTCCTTTTTTGTCTGAAAGTCTAATGCTTTTTCCCGGACGGAGTGTGAAAACGTTTTGTTGTTCTTGAGGGAAGAGAGGTAGGGGTGTTTTAACATGACAATGCTCCCCGCATACTCCACTCACACACTGCCTCCAGTAGAGCACTTCTTATTGATTCCTCCGCGGCAGCTAAGAGCTGTGTATCCTGGAGGACTGCCTGTCAGTTCTGGTCCAGGGGCTGAGCATCTTCACTACTGATTCCAAGGATTTACACGTTTCGCTACCGAATTTCTAAGAGGAGTTCATATCCTATTGTATCAGAATATATACTATTTTTAATAAATTTCAATTGCAGCCAACATAATTAATTGTAATTTGTTCATTGAACAACTTATTTTTAGCTCTTGAAGAAAACTTCTTAGATATTTTTCGACGTCGTAAATATTTAGTGATAGCTGGTGCAAATATACGCAACGAATACTGGTCAGTAGAAAAATGACAAGATAAGAATGAAATTAAATAATTCAACGTATCATAATATGAAGCAATCATTTCCTATTTTTTCAGTAATTGTAATTAACCAGCAAATAGAAAATAATTATAAAGCCATTCATGTTATAAAGCAAAATTTATACGATTTTGTACCTCAGATAATGATGGTTCAAAAAGTTATTTCTTTCTTTTTTTTTTTTTAATTTATTAATATTTCAAATCATGGGGTACAATCAACAATAAATGCATACTTTTTTAGTGATTCGCAAATATAGTTTCTTTTCCTTCATAACTTTCCTTACATTTCGGAGGAATGGGACTATTTTTCTCACGTGAAGGAGATCTACAAAATTATGGCTCAATCAGTGCATTTGATGAAAAATTTAAGGAGATCGCGTATCAACATAAAAAACACCTGTGAGAAATAATATATAAAGATCGTGAATTGTATTACCCTGTCGAAAGTCCTAACGCAAATCGTAATACAGGATTCCTGAGTGTTTTGTTAACGAAGTTCGTGGGTTATTTGTATTCGTATGTCATCATATTGTCTTCAAGGGCTTGTTCACAGCTTGACAAATTCTTAGCTTAAAATTTTTAAATTTTTAGTTACCATAACAAAATAATTTGAACAGTTAAGCTCGCTTTTCTAGATATTCTCTGGAATCAAAAAATCTTCAATTCCATGTTTGCAATCCAATCCTCTCCCATTCCTGGTCCTGATTTTTAATTTTTATTTCATTTCAATATTTGGAGTAGTATATAGTAAATATAAAATGAAACTAAAGAGAAAAATTAATCGTTTCGTTATGTTCCGAGGAGTTTAAGTGGCTTTAGTCTGTATTGTCACTGCCATATTGCTAAGTTGCATCTATTTTTCATCCTTCAAAACCAAATAACTTCTCTATATATATTCTCATTTATTGTAAAGTGCGAATTTTGTTTAAACCTTGAAAATATGTAATGTTTATTTAAAAAAAAAGAAAAAAGAAAAAAGAAAGTAAATTATAAGTTAGTAAGGAAGTAATGTTCCTAACCTTCTGCTATGATGTGTCCATAACCCGAGCGAGAACTTAAACAATGCCCTCCAGAGGACCTCGACGTAAACAGTTATATTTTTATTGCCGCCCCAGTTGGAGGCGGTCAACATATTCAGATGGCCGAGACTAGCTTTATAACGGGCGTTACTACCTCTTCCCTTATGGTTATTGCGGCAAATTTGTTCTTGTTCCATCTTAAACCTTTCTTCGGCCTTCAAGAACGAGGCTGAGAAAAGTAGCAACAACCTAATGTAGTCGTACTAAGCTGTATGTTGTATTATAGTGATGGATCCTAGTAAACTCAAAGTCAGGTTATTAAATTATTACTTTCACTTACCTATATATGTAATACATAGTAAGTGTAAGTATTGCGATAGTGAAAATTTTTGAATCTGAGTTTTCAACGGAAATACACGTCTCCTGAGTCCAAATAACCAAGTCCCGAAAAATATTCTGTGTGTATGTGAACACTCTAGCTCGAAACCGAAAAGTTGTACGAAACTGATATTACGTATTTAAGATAGATAGGAAGTGCCACTTTATATCTACGCTGAAACACATTTTTACAATTTTCTCACAAACGGCTCTAACGATTTTGATTAAACTCGGTGTTTCATTGTATAATTAAGTGGTATTTAATATTATTCAGCTCTTATTCCCGTTGATGTCACTTTACAGAGCTTAAATGCCCAATGTTCATATGCGTCTTCCTCTAAAGTACCTTTAATATGGTTCATTTCCACTAATTAACTATCTCTCATTCTTAAAAGTTACGAAAAAATGCTAAATATAACTTTTGAAAGAATTTGATAATGTAATAAAGGAGAAAAAAAATAAAAATGCTCATACAGGTCGAAAATGAATCTCCTGAAATACAAGTCAGAAAGTATACTTATAATATATCGTTGGAAAGCAGAGAATTTTAGAAAAAAACAATCTTTTTTAAAACTGATAATATTTAACGTAAATCACATGTTTTCAAGGAAATTAAATGAAATTTACTAACTAAATGTAAAATTTAAAAAATATTACGTTTGTAGAAAGTATTTAAAATCCTTCTAATCAAGGCAATGGCATTGTTAAAAAAATCTGGTGCGCGCAACACACAACTTTCACTTACCGCTCTACTTTGAATAGAAATTATTTTCTGGGAATGTTGGGCTATAATATGTATGAAGTGCATTTTAAACGGAGCTAAAGTTTAAAGCTTATAGAAAACAAATCATTTCTTCTTCTCCATATTTTATGAATTCTAGCATAATATTATCCCTGCCTGCTTTGCCCAATTGTATTTTCTCCATAGCCAATTCAATCCCATCTTCCTCTTTAACATAACAACATTCTCACTACTCTCCACCTGGTTTTCACGGATTCTAGTTCTTCTGCGGACATCATATGGAGGATATTGTCTGTATTCCTGGAGGAAAATGATACTCTGGTAATGTTTTTGCCATACTTTGAGAATTTCGTTTCCATTTGACAACAAATTACCATTATTGTCTTGGACGCTTCGTATCTGTTCGCCTTTTTCCCCTCGCAAGTTCTGGATCTCCCCATAAGTCCATTTACAATACTCCAGAATTTTTTTTTTATTTTCTTCGAAGTTACTTTGGATCTCCTTTCCAAATTTCTTCCAAAATCTTGCCTTAGCTTCACTGACTATTTGCTTGGCCATATTTCTCAATCTGATGTATTCAACCCAACAAGCTTGGGATTTATTCTGCCTTTATAGACTCCATGCTTCTCTCTTATCTTTTACTATTTTTTGCACTTGATCATTCCACCTTCTTGTGCTTTTTGTCTGAGTCCTAATTTTCTTAATACCAATGCTTCTGTTGCACTAGAAAGGATGATTGTTTTGATATGAAGCCATAAGTCATCGAGAGCTATGTCATAATTGACTTCTTGTGTATTTATCAGTAGCAACTCTCTATATCTTTTAATCACTTCTGGATCTCTAAACGTTTCGGCCAGAATTCGTTCATGCTTGAAGTGTCTTTTCCGTTGGTTATTGATTTTGGTATCAGCAACAACCAGGCGATGATCGGTGTCTAACTCTGCACCTGTAATAGCTTTTACATCTATGAAATGTCTTCGCATAACTCTGTCAAAGATAATGTAATCTATTATGCTTTTGACCTCCATTTCTTCCGCTTTAAAAGTAATATTATGAATCAACTTATGTCTGAAGTGAGAATTCCCAATAAGCATATCATTCTCTGTGCAGAATTCTATCAATCTTTGGACATTAGCATTTTTAACTTCTTCATCACTCCATAGACCTATTACTTCATGGGAGTTCACGTTGTCCTGGCATTCAAATCTCCACAGATAACAACCATTCTGTTCTCAAAACGGCCTCTCTCAACACACCTCTGCAGGTCTTCAAAAAACGTCCTTGTCAGCAACCGGTGAGTCTTCCGTAGAAGCATTAACCTGAATGATAGAGGTTTTACCAATAGCGAGTTAGATGTTGGCTAATATGATGCGTGGTGACACAGCTTTCCAGCTTTCCATCCTGTCAAACAGTTCATCCTTCATAGCATACGCCACTCCATTTAGCCCTCTCTCTCTTATTCACTCTTGAGTAGATCATCGTAAATCCATTAACCAGCCTTGTAACGCCATTTCCCTTCTTCTTAGTTTCACTGAGGCCTATGAAGTCCACTTTATACTTCTTCATTTCGCCAAAAGGTTCAATCTCTTTACCAGAAAGGGTCCTGATGTTCCATATACCTAGTCGAATTTCTTTATCCATGGCATGTCTGTTACTGTCCAGTTCAGAGGTAATTTAATCGTCTTTGAATCAGTTAAACTTCGGATGGGCGATTGGCCCAAGCCCCAAAGGCCCTTTATTTTGGGACATTTTTCCTCTTTATATTGGGACAGAGAACTCTAGGTGGATTGCATTCACCACGGCTTGGAGCTCCACCTGCCCCTTCACAGTACATCAGCCGTTCTGCCGGTCTAATCATGGATCCAACCGACTCTGTCTTCGGCTCCATGCTAGTACTGGCGCTCCTCCTGCATCACACCAAGGATGTTTATCGACCTCCTGGTCTAGGTGTTTTGTTGAAAGCAGAGTCACCTCTGACAGGATGTGGTTCTTCACCACGCACGAACGGTCTTGGGAACTAGCTTCATACAGATCTCGACCAAGACTTCAGAGATCTCTCGGCTGGTGCCCCTGGCATTGGGGAAGGACCAGATCCTAAGTCAACCCCCCTTTATTTATACCAGGAAGTAAAATTCATATATATGGCCTCATACTTTAAATGAGGAATGTTTTTTTTATGTTGATTTACCCTACTCCGGTAATTTACATATACAAGTAAATAGATTATTGTCAGAATTCTTATCATAATAATATAATTAATATATAATTAATAATCTAATACATATAATTAATAATCTAATGATAATTAATGAATTATTAATTCAAAAACTTGTTACATTCAATTCAAAACATCTGTTTTACTCCCGCAATAATCGTCCCTATGGAATTCCATCTCTTCCTGATACGCTCTCCACCTTTAAATACCGCCAATGCAATCACTCCCTATTCATCTAGATCCCAAAACAGTGTAAATAGTTGTTTCAGCAAATTAGTGTATAAACTATTAGTTCTTTTTTAATTATTATTCTTTCTGATTTCATTCTTTTGTTTTCAATTTATTAATGTTAGGAGTTGACTTATAATTTATTATTATTTCTATTTGTTTATTTTGTTGTTCCTTTTCATTTCCATCTGAGCCTTTTAAGCCGACAATTCTGTTATTCTAAAGGAACTGGTACAGGAATGAATAAAGAATATTATATTATTGTTGTTTCTTTAATTTTTTTTTTAATGTTTTATTAAGTATGGTTCTGGTTCCAGGTGGTTGGGGCGCGGGTCGATGTTCGTGCTCTCCAAGTCCCAGTTCGCGGCCCTGTCAGGAAGGGGGCCCGGGCAGGAGGGAGAGCTGGTGGACCTCGGTGCGGGCGATGGTTCCATCACGGCCATCCTCCAGAACTTCTTCTCCAGCAGGGTTACCGTCACCGAAGTCTCCAAGGCAATGAGGCCTCAGCTGCTTAAGAAAGGATTCAGGTGAATGCTATAGATAAGGCTCTCTGATGTCCATCTTATCCTAGCTATTCCATAGTAATATTCAAATTGGAAAAAAAATCTATTCTATTCTATATTAACAAAATAATACATTAATTGTTTTCAAAAACACTGATGAAATTTGCTAACAATAACTTATAGCTTACTTCCTTACTGCTGTTTCATGAATATAATAATTCTTTATAATTATTATCTTTTTTACAGACTTTTGCTAAATAAAAATTCTTTCACATTTTTTATGTCGGTTTATTGAAAAAAGTCACCGACAAGTTGATGTAACAGTCATTGGATCATCGATTTAGTTAACGGCGGGAAAAAATCCTAGTAAACAAATATTAAACATTTCTATTTTCCTATTTCTAAAAAAAAAGTGAATCCTAATCATTATTAACATTTTTTTAGGAACCGCGAAACACTATCTTTTCTATTCCAAATCAATGATTGTTCCAGTAGTAATTAAAAAAATTTAAACTTAAATAGGGTATCGTTTAGAAAGAAATAAACTTCAAGGCCCATCGTTTTTATATTTAAAAAAAAAGGTTGATTGGGGTTTGTTTTGGTAAGAAAAAAACGGTGTACGATTCGGGGAGGGAAACATTTACAAAAATTTTACTCTAAAAAATTAACTTTTTTTACAATAATGTTATAATAAAATTAATTTATTTTTAATTTTTATTTGAATAAAACTGTTAAAAAAATGTTCGATGTTTATTTTTTTAAGAATGTTAATGAAATACAAGTTTCACTACATTCCTCGAAAAAAAAGGCCGATTTCGGAAATAAACTTATTTTCTCACCACTTTTTTTTTAAATATATGGAATCGTTTAAAAAAAAAAAAAAAAAATGCATCATCGGATTCATTGGGTGTTGGGGACGATGGAACATGGGAATCGATACTTCAATTAAAATCGATTTGAGTTTCCTTTGGAAATGGCCGACTCAATGTAACACTTATTTGTGTGTGACAAAATGTTAAGATTGAAAATTGAAACATTGAAGAAGTCAAATGTTAAAATTACAAGACTACAATGCACATTTAGTAACCAATCTAGATTTAACAATGTATAAAAAAAAAATAAGTACAATGAACAATATCTTAATTAATTAATCATTTTTATTTTCTTTCTTCATTCGTTCTGCATTCATTTTAGATTGTTTCGCTCCTTTGCTATTCCATTTAAATATGTTTAGTTTTGGCTTATATTTTCTGACCAAAGCCGGACATTACATTAGAGCAGCCTGAGGGCGCATACCCCTTGCTATGAGAATAACTAATGTTAGCTTATTAATGAAGCAACTGAATAAAATTTAAATATTACTTAAAATATAGCTCACGAAATAAATTATTTTTTCGGAGGGTATGACGTCATTGCCCGGGTAGTGTCTAAGGCCGCCACTGTTTCTGACTTATCCAAGTAAAGCTCTTTACAAAAGCTCTTAGGTATCGTTGTTTATTTTCTGTTCCTTCATTTTTTTTATAAATATAATAAGCTTGATAGGCTGAAAATGAAAGCCAACCGTTCCATTAAAGCCTAATTCCCTAGCTCCCATTACCCTCGGGGGGGGGGGAGAGAGGGAGGGGGTGGATTGTGCACTAACTGCTACTAATCCTGGTTGATCACGCTAAGGCAATCGATTGTGTATAAATGTAGATAAGAGCTCAGCTTTTGTAACGTTATTGCACCAAATGAACCGCTCCTTTTAAATAGTTCAGTTCAGCCAATACAGATTATTATCATTTCTAAAATCAGCCTTATTTTCTAGGCTTTGTTATAACAGAAAATAATCCATGCTGTAAGTAAAGCTACTTTACCAGAGTTTATTATTGATATTTAATTACTTCAGACAAAGGACTCAACGAAGAATCTTGTGAACGGATCACAGCCATGAAGGTTACGTTCAAAGAGGTGAAAATCTTACCCCTCTACATAATTTCAGAATAAGTCTTTTCAAATAGCCAACTTATTGGTTATATTCTAAACAAATTTGTTTTACACTCTTTCAATCTCGTATACTAAATCGTAAGTCTCTTATAATCTAAGTTGTTTAAATAAATTTTAAAAAACGTTAAAATTATTAATTATTGATTAATTAATTATTAGTGTTTCGCGGTTCCTAAAAAAATTTTAATAATGATTAGGATTCACTTTTTTTAGAAATAGGAAAATAAAAATTTTTAATATTTGTTTACTAGGATTTTTTCCCGCCGTTAACTAAATTGATGATCCACTGAATGTTACATCAACTTGTCGGTGACTTTTTTCAATAAACCGACATAAAAAATGTGAAAGAATTTTTATTTAACAAAAGTCTGTAAAAAAGATAATAATTATAAAGAATTAAGAGACTTACGATTTAGTATACGAGATTGAAAGAGTGTAAAACAAATTTGTTAAGAATATAACCAATAAGTTGGCTATTGAAAAGACTTATTCTGAAATTATGTAGAGGGGTAAGATTTTCACCTCTTTGAACGTAACCTTCATGGCTGTGATCCGTTCACATGATTCTTTCGGACTTGCAGGAATCTAGGGAGTAGCGTGTTGTGAGTGATTTTGAAACCGACCACATTCTTGGGGGAGCAAAATAAAACTGCTCAATCCTATTGAGTAGTAAAATTTTAAAATCAATGCAATAATCTATTTTTGTAATTTTAGTTTTCTATCGTGATTGACGTCTAAAAATAACCTTACATTTCATTCTTGTCGGAATTTATAACAAGAATTTTGTGTAGGTATGCATATCTATTTAGTTTCTGTCTAATTTTAAATTTAATAGTCGATAGTTTCAATAAATTTTTTTTTTTTATTTTGACGTGTGGGCTTTGAAATGTAAGGTTATTTTTAGACATCAATCACGATAGAAAACTAAAATTACAAAAATAGATTATTGCATTGATTTCAAAATTTTACTACTCAATAGGATTGAGCAGTTTTATTTTGCTCCCCCGAGAATATGGTCGGTTTCAAAATCACTCACAACACGCTACTCCCTAGATTCCCGCAAGTACGAAAGAAGACAGACTCTACTGTTCCCAAACACTTGATAGTAAATTTCTCGCCACTTTAAGATGAAAATTTTTATTCAGTTAAAATAAAAAAAAAATATAGTTTGTAATTCGTGGTCTTAGCTACTTAGTCAAAACTACTTAGTTCTCGCTTCCTGTCCTGAAACTTAAAAATTAGAATTTACAAAACCAATATCCTTCCTCCGGTTCTTCATGGATGCGAAACTTGGCCGCTTACATTAAGGGATGAGCAACGTCTAAAAGTTTTTGAAAATAAAGTATTGTGCAGAATATTCGGGCCCAAAAAGGACGAATCAACCGGAGAATTTTGGCGGTTACACAACGCTGAATTGCGTGAACTGTATCCGGATTAAGTGGAGGCGCATACAATGGGCACGTAAAGTCGCTGGGCTTAGTACCGATAGAATTCCTAAAAGTTAATATGCGCTGTACCGACTGGCAAGCATCCGAGAGGTAGATCAAAGCGTAGGTGGGAAGATTGCGTTAAGGCTGATCTATCAGGGTTGGGTTAGACGCAGAATATGGACATCGATTGGTGGTTTAGGCATCGAACCTTCGGTTTCGCCAAGCATTTTTATTATTATTATTATTATATACAAAAAATATGAAAATATTACACATACCATTTCTGAAATAACCAATTCAAAATTTTACTAATAATATAAATTATATAATTTCATGTTTACCCTTCATTAAAATAATTATAAATGGTGTACCATGTAGCATATTGGAGTTACAACCTTCTCAAACCAATTACTTACAAAAGTTGTCAGTAGTTAGTGAGTAATTCTGACTGAAAACTTCCGGATTGACGCTTGTGCCCGAAATGAATGTTGTGGGTTACATAATGCATTCTCCCCTCAATTTTGCATAAAATAAACGAAAAAATTTTCTCATAAGTTGTTTACTAATAACCGATTATTACTTCTTACAAGAGATGGCAGATCTTATCAGAAGCTGATTAAATTAATACTGTTATTTCGATTAAGAGAAAAAACAATTAATCGTTGAAATTTTAGTTATCTTCTAGGCATTTGATTGATTTGAGCTATTGCTTTAGAATCTTCTAATGATATTTCTTTTTTGATACGACATTACCGTATGTTAATATTTTTTTCCAGTAGGCCGCGCGCCACCTGTCACACACCTAGTGCTCAGTGGCGTTGCTAATGTCCCGAAGACATCTGCTCCCCCGGTCGGGTTGATCATCGTGTGCCGATCCATTGTTTTTTTTTTTGTCCTTGTGTTGTTATTAGTGATACCCATGTTGTTGTTTTTTTGTAGCCTCGGGCGGGAGGCGTGCATCCGATTAGCGCTACTGAAAGGCTGAGACAAAAAACAACCCTATCTCTCCTACCACTATTATTCGGCGGTTATTGCTCTTTAGTAGGTCAGGGGTATTAGAATCTACTTGTTCAATGTTATGTACATTACTTGTGAGAGAGCACACCAAAAAAAAAAAGACAATCGAGTTTTAACAATATCTGAAGGTCATTCATTATCAGTAGCGTATCTAGGATTCAGCGAGCTCCCCGGTCTCTCACTTACTAAGGGTTATTTATTTACTTATTTATCGAATGATAATTATTTCTATAGAAATTTTGAAAAACTTAATTTTGAAGCAGGGGTGCCTATCTCCCCATGGTCGATAGCGGATGAATTCTCCCCTCTCTCCCAGAAATGTTATTGCTCTTCTCTTCTTAAAACCAGTGGAAGCGAAAGTAGAATTAGAATAATCGTTGATCATATACAAATGCAGGTGCGGTTGAATAGTCCAAGTTTACCCCCTTGTTTCCTGGATTGAAACATTTCACTTCGAAAAATCGTAACACCGCCGAAATATGCCTTCCTAAAAAATACAAACATCCATCAAAATATGCCTCCCTCAAAAAGTTCGATGGCGCGACTTGCAACCCCCTGCTGTATTTCGACCTTGTTTACCACTTACTTATATTAT